TTCCCCAGCCGAGCAGCACTCCTGTTATAGAGGCCAGAGCTGGGATAGACAGCTATGAACACCCCCAACCCCAGCACGCCAGGGGCCTCTGTTGGCACCCTTTTCTCATATCTGAAAGACGATGGACTTGAAGCACGCCACGAGCTCCTTGCTCAGCACCCGTCTCCTTTCACTGTGTTACCTGTAGCTCTGACATTCCTGCGGGGCTTCACAGGCCTTCTCTTCGTAGAGGGGATCTGCACAGTCCCGGCCCCCGTTGGTTGGCAGCTGAATGATCACCCGGTGTCGAGACTGCTTCCTGACTGCAGAGCTTCCTGGAATGAAACAGCAGTTTAACCCAGGTACTCTGCACCAGGGGTCCTTGGGTATTGCAAAGGGTTTCTTTAACACATTTGACTGCTAACCTCAAGGTTGGAGGTTTGAGCCCACTCAGAGATGCCTCGGAAGGAAGGCCTGATGGTTGATTGCTGAAAAATCAGCTCTTGAAATCTTAAGAAGCACAGTTCCACTCTGACACACCTGGTGTCAGTGTGAGCAGGAGTCTACTCCACGACAATGGGCTTTACTCTGCACTGAGAAAAGAAGCTTCAAATAGCAGTCTGGGTGGCGAAATGCCTTTGCCTCCGGACACTCTTGCCTGGACATCCCTGAGAGAGGGGCCTCATCTGGTCCAATCACGTACTAAATTCTCCTAAAGAATGCTTAACTGAAAGCTGAATCCCTTCAAAATGTGAAGCATGGAGAAAACAATCCCATAGTCAACGCTAGCCTTCCTAATGTGCAGTTACAGAGTAATTGCTCTTTTGAATGTTTCTTTCCCCTTGAGAAAGATGACAGACCTAATTAATTGATTTCCTTCCACCTCACCTGCATATTCCTGCCATTTCCCTTGGTCCGGCTCACCACAGGGGGCTCATCCCCTTCACTCTGCACATGTAATGAATCTTCCATAGGAGAATATACTGAACGTGTTCATGTGAAGTTTTATTTCTTGTTATTGACTTAATTTGAAATGCAAAACTCATAAATTATTCTAGTCATTTATTATTCATGTGAAACAGCCTAAGGTCTTCAATTCAGGTAGTATTCTGCACATCAGTGCCGTGAGTAGTGAAACGGAAGTAGTTTTCTAGAGGCAGATTTTTAGAGAAACACTCAAAGTAGTAATGATTATCCAAAGTAAATCAAACCAAATTAAGTCAAAAAGTCATGAAAATAATTAAGACTTATCTTCAGTGGAGATAGCCAATTTGGCAGAATTATGATGTGAAGATGTTCAAATTTTTTAAATATTAGAAGCAGACAATGTATAAATCCTGTCAACTCTAATAAAGTATTTTTCCAGTTACAACATGTACACTTTAAGGATGAATAGCCACATAACATAATTACACTGATCCCTAAAGGATTATTTTAATCGAGCTCCCCAATACATTTACATTCTTTTGCAAGGTCATTAAATATTTGGTACATAACCTATAAAAACAGACATTTGAGAGGCCTTTAATAATTAAACTTTAATTGTAAAAATGTGAAGTCATATGTTAGTGGAAAAATATGATTTGGTGGTAAACCTGACAATAGTGGAATACACTGTCTCGTCAGTAGGAGCAATTCTCAAAATGTCTGAATCACTGACTCGGTGAAACGTCGGAGATGATTTCAGTATCCCAGGGAGACTCCATTAGGGAACCCAACCCCAACCAGTCACTGCCATCGAATCGCAGCAACTCCCCCGGACAGGGGAGAACTGCCCTTCTGAGTTTCTGACTCCAAAGGTCTATCCCTTGGAGAACTCTTAAAAAAAACAAACAGAACAGCAACAACAAAACCAAAAATGGACAAACAAAAACAAACTTCAGGGCTTTGATCCAGAACTACTGGGGAGAATGCAGAGGCGTTCCACTTCAGTCAGGACACACAGTCTTCTTTGCAACATACAGGGAGAGCTCTACTTTGTCCCATAGGGTTTCTACTTGTAATTGACGCAATGGCAATGAAGTTGGTGTGAGTGCCCAGAGTGATTAAATAAAAAAATGTAAGGGTTAGATTTGGGAATTTGACTTTTAATAGTTATGAGGAAATCATGTATGTAATTTATTGGAATAGATGATCTTATCTGTCATTTCTCAATTTAAAGGTTTACATATAACTTATTGGATTATTTTTATGGTGAGGGAAGAGAAACATCCTTATTAATGATCATACTGACTCTTTTATTGAGTGATGTCAATACTATAGGTAATGGGGTAGGGAGCCAAGAAGAATTAGAGTCATGGATTTGAATTCCAGCTGAAACATTTACATATTAGATATGTTTTATTTAGAGCAGCTTAAGAAATGGCAATGGGACTTTTGATAAATTTGATATAATCTCTATCCAATGTTATCCAATGACCCCCATTTTATTTTATTTATTTATTTTCATTTTTATGTATTTTCCCAACAGTTTTATTGGCACATGGCTTACATATCATCTAACTGAACAGTTCAATCATTCAATCATATCTACCTTAGAGCATCGCCACCCTTCTCCTTCTCCTTCCCCCACAGTTGAATCGGCTTTAAAATGGGTTGTGCAATCATGATCAGTTCTAGTGCTCCTTCCCTCCTCTGCCTTCATTATTTACTCCCCAAATTCCCTTCTCTCCCTATCACCCAACCCTCACTCTTGCATTCCCTACACCACTTTGTATCAGTTGTCATTATACATCGACTCCTGTGCTGCACAACTGGGAAACCCCACTGAAAACAATGAACAACAGATCACACTAAGTTGGCAAGGATAAGATGTCTTTCTATTGGTAGAAGGATAAAAATACAAATAATGTGTCAGTGGTAGAAGACTCTCATCAACAGATAAAAACCCAGAAAGAAATTTTAGTCATGGAACAACTAAGAGATGCTTGCACCCTATAGGTAGGTTGGCTAGCCAAATGTGGAGTTTGACCCAACATAATCAGGATGACAATGGTTTCTGCCTGTTAGTAGGGCTAGTCAGGACTCTTGACTTAATAGCCAAGTGACAAATTCAGAACTAGGAAAAATTTTTCCCCCATAGCAATATGATAAAAATCCATGTGCTTCTGATATTTGCTCTGGTAACCAGAATCTTGGAGCAGATTTTATTCTCAATTGCAAGAGCTTACCTTAACTTTGGTTTACTGGTATATTTTTCTTTTCTTCCTTCCCTCGACATCATCGTTCCTTAACATGTTTTATTATTATTATTTTTTAGTTTATGTTTATGCTCTGTGTTCAATCCTTTTTAAAAAGCATACAAACCATTCTTTTTCTTTGTTTTCACATTGGGAGATGGAAGGAGGAAGTGTGTGTGTGTGTGTGTGTGTGTGTGTGTGTGTGTGTGTTGCTTGCTTTTCAATAGTGAAAAGAGGAAAAAACATAGAGAAAATGGTCTTTATTTTCCAGGTGCTCAAAATTCTTAGCGGCCATAATCCTGTAACCCTTCTTAATCTGAGAGAAGATAGGAAACAGAACTAAGATTGGGACCAAAGGGCCCCAGGGACTTGAGAGGACACTAAATTAAGTTTTAACCTTATAGAACCCTCTAGATTGAAGTTCCTGGAACACTGACATTAAGCTAATGCTCATGGTATGAGCATATTTACTCATTTTATACTTATAGTACAAAATTATACTATTTACTCATTTCAAAATTAAAAGCTTAAGATGACAAATTTACCATAAATTTCCGTTTTGTTACTATTGTGCAACGATGAGTTAATTATCCAGATGTCATCTGTCTTGGAGTGTGGAGAAAAAAGACTTCCAATTTGGGAAGTGGAAGCCGAAAGTTATTGATACAATTCCATTTCAGTTTCTTTCCATTTAATCTTGCTTATTGCCTTGAAAGCAGAAGCGTCACCTACAAGACAACTCGGTAACATTCTAGTGCTTTCTCATTTCAAACTCCACAGGTTTACAAAAGACTTGTTACAAAAACAACCATGGATCTTTATACTTCCACAAGAGATGACCCAATAGCAGTTCATTTATTCTTATAAAACGTTCAAATTCTGCAACTTGTGGAACCCACAGCATAGAGACTGTGACATGGTTGAAGCAGACAGGCCAATGCAAGAATCCTCACAGGGGAAGTTGAGTGGGGCTGCAGAAGTCAGAGTCATGACACCTGTGCTTCCATCTACTAAGCCGTTTGCTTCCCTCTGAAGTGCAGGTCAAGAGGCTGCTGTGCACTCAAAGAACAGCATCCTAGAGCTCAGCCAGGAGAGAGCACAAGTGGAAGCGACAGCAAACACAGAAAGAAACGAGGATGGAAGCTCCCTACTAACGGGAAAGTGCAGGCTGACACCCTTCATAGTGCTCTGCATGTATTTGTGACCCGTTTGTATATGTAGCTGATGTACAGATGCAGATTTCACTTCTCTCTGTATTCTTTTCTCTTAAAACATTACTTATACAAACCCACAAACCCTTTGCCATTGAGTCAGTTCCAGGTCATAATGACCTTGTAGGACAGAGTTCCCCAGGCTGTCAAGTTCATGGAAGCAGACTGTCACATCTTTCTCCCATTTAGTGGCCGGTAGGCTTGAACCTCTGCTCTTTGGGTTAGAAGCCAAGCCTTTACTCACTGTGCCACCAGGGATCCTGGCACATAGCAGGGGCTTCATAAATAGTTGCCGTTTTACAGACACATTTACTTTTCATCTTCTCATTCAGATTTCTAAATATCCTTTGTTTGTTTTTTCTCTTTTCCTTTACAGTAGGAAAAATATGGGCTCTAAATCTGTGCATTAAATATTAATAAAAAACATGTTATTATCTTTTCACTGGGAATAATATGCATGGGGAAATTGATGACAATCACTTGTAGAATTTATACTTGACAATATCTACCTAGGTTAGGAATTAGAAAAGGGATTATGCATTCCAAAAATAATTATCTGATAACAGGACACTGGTAATCTCTCTGAGAGTCACAACGCATCGTAAGACATTGCAGAGAGAGCTCGTCAGAGAAGTTACTTGCTGGAAGGACTGCAAGAGCAGATGCAACTGTCAAGACCTGTTCAACGGGAACCGGACAAGTGGTGCTTGAGCAGCACAGTGACACCAAAAGGGCGACGTTTAATGCAGGAAGCCAAATGCAGTGGGAATTTCCAGGTCTTTGGGGTATTTGTAGGACAGCACTGCTAAAAAGCAGGATGGCAGAATATACGACTCTGCAGTGTCCTTCCTGTCTCCCATCGCAATAGATATACTAAGGAGGGGAAAGAGTAAATAGAATTTTAACAACTAAATGTACTAGGTCAAGAGTATTGATCTTTTTTAA